GTCCAAGCACCTTTAAGAAGGATTCCTCTGCTTGCTTGCCCTTATCAATGTGTCAGAGAGTACGTAATAATTTCATCTCAGCAAAAGCTGATGTGTGTTAAAATGCCTTATTATGTCTCCCAAACGAAGTTTGGGAACATATTGTTTTTACTTTTTTTTTCTAAATTTCTTCTCCGGTTTTTTTTTCTCTGCGAGTGTTCTCGGAAACTACTCATCTGATTGAGATGAAACATTTTTAGAATTAACAGGCATGTTGTAGATGCGCGGAACGAAGGTCATTTTGCGCGCACCTGCATGCACGTGCGTGTGCGCGCAATGGGTGAAATGAGAGATATACTTGATATCGTGCAACTTTTATATATATATATATATATATATATATATATATATATATATATATATTATAAAATACTTTGAAACTCATAACATAAAAATATATTAGTTGTGTTCACAAGATGACAAGGTCAAATTAGCATGAACTCACGCGCATGCACGTGTGCTTTGCTCTGATTGACTAAAACAAATATGCCAATAACTTCCTTTTAAGTTAACTTCTTCATTTTTTAACAAAACAGGGTGACATTTAGAATATAGATATCTATAATGTGTTCCTACATTACGGTACTATCACAATTGAACACAAGGACATTTATGCACGTGTGCTGAATTCCGATTGGCTAATACCCTATTGGCTGTAACTCTATTACAATTCAATGAACAACTTTGATATTTAAGACATAAGTATATATTGTGAAACACTATAAGAATATATATGTGAGATAACTAGAAAATATGCAAATGCATGTGAGCTGAAATGTGATTGGCTAAGATTTGATGATGGCTATAACTTTCTTAGTTTTCAAGAAATAAGAGGAAATTCAGAGCAGATGTTAATATTATGTCTCTACATTATCATGATATTATCAAAAATGAACACGAGGACACACAAGCACGTGTGCTGAATTCTAATTGGTTAATATTCCCATTGCTGGAATTTTCTATGTTTTTAGTAAATTCTTCGAAATCTAAAATGTAGCTCTACATTATGAGATACTATTAATTAATGTATCTAATGGTAATTTTTGAAAACACGTGCTTTCACGTCCTATGAAAATTGATTGGTGTAAACTCCTTTTTTACATTGTTATTAAAATACTTTGGAAAATAAGTTGTAAGTCTGTGATACAAAGAATCTGCCTTATTCAATGAAACTTACAGAGAATGGGGCACCAAGAGGACATAGGGGAGCGTTTGGGGGAACATCTGTAACGGTCTTCGTTACAATTAGAACTAGTTTATTTTTATTTTTTTTTTTTTTGGAATGTGCTGTCTTTAAATTGACTTTAAGAAGTCTGACTATATGCTCCACTATAGATCCGCAGTAACGCATTCGTTACCTTTTATGGAATTATATAAGAAAAATAACAGAAAATAAAAGGTCTCATGCGCCAAATTTATATTCATAGTTGAGAGTTCCTGACAAAGAAAATTTAGAATTTCAAGAAGATACTTTGAGTTTCAGTTACATGTATGTACTTTTAAAAGACACATAAGGTACTTTAAAAGAGGCAACATTATGTTTCTATTGGATATTTTGACATTCAAAAGACCTAGGCTTTCAAAGGCAAGTCCTAGGTCTAATTTTCGGGATTCTACAACAATATGGTAAGATATCACAGAATTGGTAAGTTTTTGGCACTGGTCATAGTGATTCGTTACGTTGTCATCATTTGCATGTTATCCCCTTAGCTTTATCTTTTATGAGTAAAAAGTTCCTGATTCAGTGCAATATTCATTAAGCAGTGTCTTAAAGAACATTGAAAAAAAGGGGGAAAACCCAGATGTAATAGGAGAAAGTGAATGAACCGTTTTTTCTCAATTGCAGGTTGTTGGCGCACTCGCTTGGCACCAGAGAACCTCTCCCTTGTTAATTGGTCACCATCAAAAGACTTTAACATATCCAAGATCTGTGTTGCTTTTTTCAATAAATTTCTGCAATGTGGTCTTCATAGCTGTCCATTACATCTACAACTTTTATGTAATTTTGTTCGTTTATAGAGAAATGGAAATGAAACAGCTGTATATTAATTTGGAGCTCATTTCGCAGTCCTTAGCTTATAATTTTTGTTTCAATTTAGCTTGCAAAAGTTTAAATTATTTAAAAATGTCAAATGTCTCATCGGCATTTAAAATTCGATATAGATGTAATCATTAGAATTAACTTTTAAATCATTTTATCTTTAAAAGACCAAAATTATTCAAATTCATATCCAAATATCATTTGTCAAATTGAACTAACATACCCTGTAATACGATGCGATACAAAAGAATTCAAAATTCTGAAATATAACGGGACTAGTGAAATAAGTATTAATAATCTAGGAAGGCAATACAAGTATTCTGCATAAATAGGTCAAATGATTGGATCCACTTTGTCGACAGATATCACCAGATTGAGAATGTATAAATTAAGAAAAGTTAAAAAAAACAAAAACATTTTAATCACATACAGAACAATATGTTATCAAAATGTAAACGATCAAACCAACATTCAATACCTTTCCACCCCTATATTTACGCTGATTTTCAGACACAAAGATAAGCACTTATATAAAATTATTTGAAAATTCTATTCATATATGCCTTAATAGCGCGATCAATAATTTTCCTTCCTAGCAATTTTGTTTGTTTGTTTGTTTTTAACGTCCCTCTCGAGAATTTTTCACTTATATGGAGACGCCACCACTTGCAGGTGGAGGGTTGCAAATTTATATCTTTACTCGGCACTCAGGGCCATTAAATTGTAAGGGATCTTTTTCGTGCTAACAAGTACTGCGACACGGGACCTCGGTTTATACGGTCTCATCCGAAGGACGGTCTCCATGCACGTCCCGCAGTGAATTCGAACCTGCGACGTAAGGATCAGCTCCTTACTCTAGAGCAGACGCTCTAACCATGGAGCCACGCGGGCGACTTTTAGCAATTATTTACGCTGAGTTATCTACCTGTACTTTCTTTTATTAGTCCCCTACTGATGAAACCGGAGGGGACTATAGGTTTCCTCTGTGTCTGTCCGTCAGTCCGTCTGCCCCTCTGTCTGCCTGTCTGTCTCACTTGGTTTTCCGCACTTTTTCTGTTTTTATTGCTTGCAGATATTGACTTGATTTTTGGTATGTTAGAGCATCTTGATTAGTTACAGATCAAGTTTTCATTTCGTTCCCCTTTAATGATTTTTGACGAAATTGCGACTTTTTTAAAGGGTTTTCCGCAATTTTGTTCTAAACGCTTGCAGATATTAAACTGATTTTTGGTATGTGACTTTACCATGATGACTTATAGATCAAGTTTGCATTTTGTTCCACTTCACTGATTTTTGACGGAATTATGGCATTTTCAATTTTTCATGGGAAACAGATTTCACTTGCCGATAGGGGTATTGCTAATGCAATACTCTCAAAATGCTTGTTTAATTTGGTTTTAGGCTTCAGATTCTTGATAAATTAATAAAATAATTTGAATTTCAAATACGTTCAAAACCAAATACACCAGTCTGATACTTTTGTATTAAAGTTCATGTAACATTTCTATTTAGTTGAACTATCCTGGTTAATAATGTCAACGTTTTCTGTTGTACAGTTTGTGTTTACTAAGAATTTTCACATGTTCTACCTTCTCATGAATCAATGGGCTGACCAGTGTCAACTAAAATTTACATAAAGCGTCATAAAGTGCTGGGATTCGATTGCATGTTGCTAAAATAAATGGTTGTGTCCCTTACAAGGGAGATCATTAAGCAATGGTGAAAAGAGAATGGACAAGTGATACATGTAGATCTTCTCAAGAACCCCTGGAGTGGAAAGAGGAACTATGCTTAAATGAAAAATAATTTGATAATCTAAATTCAGTATTCCCCAATTCCTGATCTACAGAAATAATGGGAGGCAACAAAAGACGACTATCTTAAGCAAAAACAAGTAGGAAAAATCATTTAAAACCGTCTGCTAAGTAGGAATTCACAAATTCAAATTGTTACATTTATGTACATGGAAATATTTAAAAAAGTAGTTGTTGTGTAGATTTAGGACTGTTCAATTTAAGACATCTTTGGCTAGGTAGGGTCACAAGGGAGTCACAATATGCCACGGCAATATTAAGGAATAATCTTCAAAAATCTATTTATAAGAGCAGCGGTTCTACAATTAAATTAATTAATATGAAGTTAAATTTCGTACTGTTGACATTGGTTTGTTCATGTCCTGTCCGGGATAAGACAGGGTCAAAAATAGAGAGCTTTACATTTACAAAGTATGTAAAAACTAAGAAAATTTAAGAGCAATTTTGAAAAGTCAACAGCATGGAACAACAGAGATTTTCTTCCCCATTTCAATTTGCAACCATCATGTAGTGAAGATTCACATGTTCTCAGAGGGTGAAATAGTAAGCAAGAATGGGAATACAAAGAGGTCAAAGTAACGATATTGGCTTCATGAAGAACAAAACTCCAATTCATATAATTGATTTCAATATCAATACAACATAATTAAAATGTGTTGAAAGATAGGAACCTTAAAAATTTTAAATTAACATTTATTGGTGTTTAAATTTGAGACCACAGTAAGGTGTTTCATTAATTAACTCATTCATCAACATGAAGATATCAGAAAAGGCTAGTTTTCCGGCCCATGGACTAACAATTTATATATCTATTGTAACAGATCACGCAGAAAACAATCAAATTCATAAAAGTGTATTTAAAACATAAATAAACAATCGAACAATCAATTTTTTTTACATAAAGAATATTTGCTTTTCGAATACATGTACATGCATTCATTTTTCATTTGCTGTCTGGAACAACATTTTACCTGACACAAACGGCTTTTAATGTTTAGGAGGAAGATTTGATTTTGATTCATTGGCATGCTTTATCTTAGTCTAATCCCATCTTGCTAATCTTTAGCTGTCAGTCGCTTTAAGGACTGTCATGAATTAAAAATAATAGTCTAATGTACACAAATTTTTACTATGAGGATAGTTCTTTTAAGACAAATATCGATTTTTTTAAAATCTCTACTACAAGGAACAACTTTTAAAAAGTAAAGACTATTCTCTTTGAGGAATTGTCATATAAACGTTGTGCATGCATTGGTTATATTTCAAATCTTCCTTGTTAATAAAATTCCTGATTTTCTATATAAATAGTCCAAAAAATACAAGATAAAATTGACCAAAAACTGAGAATCTAAAACAATGTTCTGCCAAAGTTTGATTTTAGTGACAGTATTTACAATTCTTAGCATTTGTACCTGCTACCCAAGTCAATTTTATAGCTTTGGTTCGGGTGCTGGAGACAGCGAATTGCCTGCCAATGACGACGGTTCAACTCCGAGTATTCCTATTGCTGTATCCTTTCCTTTCTTTGGGTCAACTTACAATTCCATTTTTGTAAGTTATGAACAAAAAGATTAACATAATATCAAGCATTAAATGCTAATTACTCCGTGTGAAAATGTGTAAATCTTATTTTCATTTATGTTTCAAGTATTTCATTTTCATCTTTAAAAGGTCAATAATAACGGAGACATCACGTTTGAAAGGCCACTTAGACAATATACTTCAGAGCCTTTTCCAATAAATGGAACCCATAAAATCATTGCACCATTTTGGACAGATATTGATACAACAGAAGGAGGTAAATTATGGTATCGCACAACAACAGACTACAATACAATGGGACAAGGAACGCGTAAGATTTGCTCTCTTTTTCCTAATATAGGGACCTTCCTTGCCACATGGATGATGATAATGACATGGGATAATGTAGCTATGTATCAGTGTTCATCTTCTGGGAGTATAAGTTGTCAACAGGTAATATTTTTATTATCAATCATTGAGATTATTAATGCACATCTTGAATTCAAATGGGTTGAAAAATAGTGAGATTTTCTCATAACTGCATATGTAGGCAATTATCAAGAAACAAAGGACAAGATAGGCTAAGACCCCTTTTTGGCCCCTGTTTCTGGGTGTCTTTTAGAATGATGCAACAGTTTATCAATAAAAATCTTTTGTTTCCCCTGCCACAAAAAGAGTATTGGTTCTAAGTTATGGGGTACACAAAGGTCGCAGGAATGTCAGAAACTATGTCAATTTCCAAATTTTCTCATTTTTATGCAATTTTTGATCGATTTTACGGCACATTTTGTTTCAGAAAACATAGAGCACAAGCTTGCCTATCTAACATATTTATATATTTCATACACTAGTATTAGGTGCATCTTGTGTATAAAAATCTCAGATAGGCAAGCTTGTGCTCTATGTTTCCCGAAGCAAAAAGTATCTCAAATTTGACAAAATTCCACCAGAATTGAGGAAATTCGGGAAATGTCCTACTTCTGCACCCTCCTGTGGCCTCAGTGTAAGCTTTGAATCAAAATTAATGCTGGTTTTAAAACAAGCATCATTTTAAGTTCTTAACTACAAACTTTCACAGTTTTAACTGTCTTTTGATTTTTACATCCAATAAGGGGCCAGATTCGGCCGTTACCATACCTTGTCCTTTACATGTTATTATGTTACATGTATAATTTCAGAGAAACACTTTTCAACTTGTGTTAATCACAGACGGTGTCCATTCATTTGCTGTATTTAATTACCACAAAGTCACATGGACAAAATCAACTCAGGTAAAAGAGAATCTCATCAAAGTTACGGAAATAAATGTTACATTACGTTTCATTTAAATTGAAACTCTGAGCTAGTATATTCTTAATTTCTACAAATTAAAAACAGGCTTCAAGTCTGATATATTCTTCCAAATTTGAAAATGATGTTTTAATCTACGAAGAGGAAATCGTGGTTAAGCTTGCACTTGTTACAGAGAGAGAGAGAGAGAGAGAGAGAGAGAGAGAGAGAGAGAGAGAGAAGGTTGAAGCAACACACTGCCAATTTATGTTGAAATCATGTAAATCACTGCCAAAATAATAGCCAATAAATCTATTATTTAATTTGTATAAATTTAAGACAACACAAAAAAATGTCTTTTTAGGAAAAAAAATACTTCAAATACTGAGCAGGAGCTACTAAAACTTGAGACTGCAACTTTCAATTCGAAACAAACCGTCCAATGCAATCACAAATCCATTTAAATATAAAACACATCAATCCGTGAAATCATATGAAAAGTTTTCGCTTAGAGTGGAAAGCATTTTTTTTCATCAAAGATATGTTCAGTGGTTAATACATTTTATCATTCATAATTTTGAATACATAAAGCCCATTGTAAGGACTGTACCATTCGTTATCTGTCATAGAAATTCAGATAATGAAAAAAATTACAATTTGTCATAAAATGCATTTCAACAATTACTTAAAAGATCTTATCAAGAAATACACTTGTGGTTTTAAAGAGGTATGCACCTGAAGATATTGTAAGTCAATTTTTCATATTTCTAGGAGTATACATGTATTTAATTTTACATATATTTTCGAGTATATCTAAGTATATTTCTATCTACTATGATAAAGATTGAAAATAAGAGTAATGAGGGTGATACCTGCCATGTTTCTTAGTGGAAGCCCGTCTAACTTGACCTTTTTCACTTAAAAGAAAGTTTAAAATTTTGAATTATTCTAATGCTGTTTAAAAAAAACTATTATAAACAGGGCAATTTATTTTATGTTACTAAATACTAAGGATTGTATATATAATTTTAGTCAGAGAAAATTATTCATTGAAGTCTAAAATATTATTATGACCTTTTTGCACTTAAAAGATAAGAAAATATAGCATGAATAAAATATGTTTGTAAATATCTGCAACGGGTAATGTCATTAAAAAAAATTGCATCAATATTTCTGCTCTGTCTTCTATCTTGTATATCTAAAAACAAAAACACTGGGCCACATGACATTTCTTCAAGTTATTGAGGTTGTGAATAAAATCTTATTGAAAAAAAAATGAATAAGTATTCCAAGAGTATTTGTGAATTTAAGCCTTTCGTATTTTAATGAAACATCGAATAACATATTTTTTAATTCCATAAATTAGATTTAAGTCTCTACTGTTTTTAGATGTCGGTAAAAATAGCTGTGCAAAACAGGTAAATTAATTCTAGGAGATGTTTAAAAGCAATAAAAAATTAAGGTAGGAAAATTTGTATGCATTTCTCGTTCCACGAGAAAAAATAGTTCCCAAGAAATACTTTAAAAATCTTTTGACTTTTTGTCTTTTAATAATATTTTATTAGGTTGTATGATGTAAACTATTACATGTATATGAATATAAAGATAAATATTGAACACACATTTTGAAAGATATTACATTGTATTCCTGTCACCGAATGCGTAGGAGCGTACTACCTTAATTAATAAATTGTGGTTAAACATAGTATAAGCCTACATTTAAAGGAAATACTACAGTGTAAGGTAAATAAAAAGGAGAATCATTGTTATACGGTAAAAGTTGGTCCCCCCTTTTTTCTTAAATGTATATGATTTTATCGATCATTTCTGTTTCTTATATCCTCAAAAGCTACGGGACACAATAACCCCACAGTTAAAGATCAAATCAAACAACACGTAAAATTTTATTTTTATATCATTTTTGTTAGGTTGGATTTAATGCTGGTGACGGAGTAAACTTTTTCTCAGTTCCTGGGTCAATGACAGACACTGTACTAAATCTTCCTCAGATGTCTAACATTATGATTCCAGGACAGTTTGTATTTAGAGTGGATCAGGCTAAAATAACTAATGCAGGTTTGCTCTCGTATCATTTCTCCTCCCATACTTTAAATTATCTTAAATTTCCAAAGAATATTCTTAGTCTTATATTTGCTTTCATGTTAAGCTTATTTAAATTTCTTAACAGATGTTATTAATGAATGCAACAGTTCCCCCTGTGTACATGGACGTTGTTCCAATGAGTACCTTCGATATGAATGTATCTGTGATCAGGGATACTCAGGTGTTAACTGTGAAACTGGTAACTAAAAGCTTATATTTGATTTTTAAAATCTTGATAATTCATCCAAACTGATAAACATACTTTTATAAATAAATTAATCTATTAGGCTATGTCTTGTTTAGACTAAGTACTTAAAAGGTTAAATTTTTCTCAAGATATTGACGAATGTGCTAGTTCTCCTTGCGTTCATGGTGCATGTGCAGATCGAATCAATGGATACGTGTGTAACTGTATACCAGGGTATTCTGGGATCCATTGTGAAATAGGTATGAATTATTGATGTCATCAATATTGAAGGAAGTACATGACATGACAATTTTTAGTTATAATTTTATTTATTTAATTTACAATTTAATATTTGACTGTCTTATTGCTTTGTTATTGAAAGACTTCATTTGTCAATTAGAGTTTACATCAACTTATGATTTTATAACCAAGCGGAGAAAGGACGCAGGTTTTATTAATTTATTAAGTAACGAAAAAGTAATATCAGATCTGAAATATAAACAAATGCAAACAAATAATACAATATTATTTTACATAAAGACTTTGAAAATAGTTGATACAAATAACTTACTTTTTCTGAGGCAAAAATATCACTTTTTTCTGAGGCAAAAATATCTTAAATCGCTTCAAAAATAAGAAACTTTAGCTTAATTCAGCCTAAAAGTAGCATTTTCATAGTTTAAAAACGTTCTTATTAAAAATATGAAAAAAGACTTAACCTTATTACTTTTACTTAAAATAAATTACAGAAGAAAAAAATAGTTGACAAAATTTAACCTTTTAAGTGGTGACAACGGGCAGCTGGTGAATTGTAAGAGTTAAATTTCCGCACTGATAGGAATGGGCCCGTGCCTCAGTATTTATAGAAGGAAAACCGGTTAAACAAGATTTATATGGAGGTACAGACTTGCTGGCCAGTGAAAATTCATGAATCAAAGCCAAAACACGGATGGACTACTAGCAAATATGGCATATAATTAATAATGGCTCATGTTCGATTAAGAACATGTAAACTTTTCAATGAAGAATTGTATTACATCACAATTTGGCATCTAAAATAATAAAAACAATATTTAATTTGAAAGTTTAGATTTTATTTCGTTTACTCGTCATTCATATAAGATACAGATAACCGGAACCAACTGTCAGATAGGTTTGTATTGTTTTATTGATTTTTTTTTCATGCAGTATCACTTTTTTTCTTACAATTTCAGATATTGTTCAAGATGCACAATTTGTTTAACATAATTTTCCTTTTCATTTAAATCGTTTTACAGACATTAATGAATGCGCCAGCTCCCCCTGCATACACGGCAACTGCACTGACCTAGTCAATGGATACACCTGTCAGTGTTTACTTGGTTATACCGGAATTGTTTGTGAAACAGGTAGGGGAGTCACCATGATAGGACACAGACCCTGCTTCGGACAACTTCAAGCAATTAAATTGCATCAAATCTGAATGTTTCCGTGTGTTAATTTGTTCCTGTCTTAAAGCCGAAGATTTAACTTTTAATGATGCTGACTATCATGTTTTGATAAAAATACCACGATAATGACCTTGAAGTGACGTAATATTTTACATCAGCAAAGGGGAGTAACCAGAATTTTATGATTTTGAAATTTTTACAGATGTCTTTCTTTCATTATACTTCAAGGAAACAAGTCCGTCTTGGGTGCAATTTGTCAATGATTGATAATTTTAAAGAAATTATTCAGAAATTTCACTTCAATGTTTGTATAAATTTTCTAAAAGTTGTTTTTTACTAGTATGTTCATTTCACCGTGCATTGGACACAAATTAACCATGTATCCCACACTTTCCGGTGTATGGGTAATCACTTACCTTTTTGTATAGAACTCAACTGACAGCTGTTTTATTATTATTTTTTTTATTTTTTATTTTTATTTTATTTTTTATTTAATTTAATTTATTTTTTTTTTTTGCTGAAATAGAAAATAAAAATTCTAAATATTCACTTAAAATAGAATTTATAGATAAATGACGATTAAAAGTGGGCTTAATTTATTTCAGATAACCCACGAGACAAAGGCGTAAGTTGCCACAATACGAAGCATTGCAAGGCATTTCTAATGAGATGTGGTGCAACTAAAATCTCTCCACCTTTGTGGATCGAAATAGTCAATCAAATTTAACTATAAAGTTAATTTTTAAATAAAACATAAAAAATATTTTCAAGCCACTAATTTAAAAGCATTTCAGATGTTTTAAGGGTCACCGAGATAAAAAATTTTTTTTAAAAAATTGACCTTTATTCGGTTCAAAATACCATTTGTCCGATGCATGGTGAATGTTGTCAGATCCATAGTGAATTCTGGCTCATTACAAAAAATCGTTTTTAATGATACTTTCTCAATAAACAGCATAAAACAGTGTTACAAATTCATATTTTAATCACAGACTACATGTTAAGCTCCATTTTGATAATATTCGATCGGTAATGATATCGCTAGAACTTGTTCAAGTAGGAGGTTGTCCGATGCATTGCGAACTCACTCTATTATATTATATAATATAATATAATTATATAATATAATATTATGTATTATATATATATATATATATATATATATATATATATATATATATATATATATATATATATATATATATATGCAAATGTTTTCTTAGATGAACCTATTGAAGAGAAAATATGTTCAATTCTTATGAACTTATTAGTGGGTCAAAGGTGTCAAAGGTCAAATCACACGATGTCCTGCCTACATATCTTTGTCACAGTGAAACTGCTTTCGGAACTTTTAACTCGATAGCGATGAAAAAGATAGATAAAACAATTGAAACATGAATGTTTTTCATTCAACAGATGTTCATTAGATCTTCCTTTGGTGTGAAGAATGTTTTGAATAATATAATTAGCCTAAAATCGCGCTTACCTTTTTAACCCGAAATTCCTTTGAAGTATGTAAACTGAAACAGACGATACCATCGCTTTTGAATAAAGTAGTAAGATTATTCTTAGTAGCGATCATTGTTCTTTCATTATAAACAGAGATTTCCTGAACTGGACTGCTGAACATCCATGTCAATGTGACCGTGTAGATTTGGACGGTATTTAAGAATTCGTCTGGAACTGCATCCGTTGTTTGCAGAACGAACGGGATGAGGGAATGTTGGCGTAGAGGGTACAAGGTATAGGTAGGGGCGCTGTGTGGCCGTGAGGTAAAAACGAAGTATAGGTGTGCCGTTTTCCAAAGGTCCAGCAATATGCAATTCCAGAGATAAAACAAATGATAAAGGATTCCGTATTTATTAGATGAGTTTCAACGATGGCAACAGTTTACATGAATCAACAAACAGACATATTAAAAATGATCGAGTCAGATTTGCCGAAGTTGCCTCCGGACTCAGAGTCCTTACGAGTCGGACGTGGCCGAGACTGGCCTTCGTATATTCCAGATTGAAGATTGAAATTATACATGACTATGTATAAGAATGTACATAATGAGTAAATAAATGATAGGTGTTGACATTAAGTAGAATGAGTGAAAGATTCACAGGTATGGAATAATTAAATAAACTCAATGACTCTTTGATGTTTGGCCATAAAAACAGATAATATTACATAGTGTTGTTTTAAGAGATTAACAGTTCTTGAGACGTGGCACTCTGTCTCTTTGTAATCTTCAACAGATCAAGATATCCGAAAAGTTTCACTGGTCAATTAAACAATTAGATTCGCGAAACATTTTGTGAGAAATAAAATATGACAAAACTTAGACATTGAAAAGTAAAGTCCAAAATAAAGTTCTTTCTTGAACAGTGAATTTTTCACTGTGTTATAAATATTCAAATGTTGGGGCGAGGCGAACTTTCAAGACTAAACAACTATTAGGTCATTGCGCGTCACAACATAGCAATACGTCGGGCCGTTCGTGTATTAAATGCAGTTCTGTTCGGAATATTTGTCTCAAATGTAAATATAAGTAATAAACAACATTGTTAAAAAAATCGCTGGGAAATGAGCTTGGTTGGTACGTGATCAAATCTACCGAGAAGCCCTTAGGGCTTCATAGGATTTGATCACGTGACCAACCAAGTTCATTTCCCAGTAAACTTTTTCTTTTTAACATTTTTTATTTCTTTTATATATATATATATATATATATATATATATATATATATATATATATATATATATATATATATATATATATATGTTGACTCAGCATTAAGTTACTTCCAAAACGCATTTTCCCCAAGAAGCATTGCTAAGTGATATTGGATATGCAATAGAAAAAAAGGTCAGACGTTTCGAAATTTGGCTGAATAAGTTGAGAGGATATAAAACATATTTTTTATCCTCTTAAAATATATCTCTTTATTTTATAGACATTGACGAATGTTTGAGTTCTCCTTGCAAACATGGGATCTGCATTGATAAAGTCAATGAATATCGTTGTGTTTGTGAAACAGGATACTATGGGAGACAATGCTCAGAGTGTATGTATAATAGTTTTTCAGTGTTACATAAAATGTTTTATATTAATGCAATATGTATTTTGGTAGCTCAGTTACCCATTCAATTGCTTATTTCTTTCTATAATCCTCTCATCACTAGAACACCATATCTTATCCTCCTTCAATGAATAAAAAGTCTGTAAAACAGTTCGTCGTGTGTTGCCACCTTTGTGAATTTGTTTGAAATTCTCAAATGTATTATAAACAATGTAAAAGGAGATAATCCAAATTTCCAGTAATTACAACCTAGACTTAACAGAAAAATCATGAAAATGGATCTGAAAACGCTTAAAAATATAAAATTACAACCAAAAATTTTGGAGGAGGCGGGGTGGAAGGAGGTAAATAACAAACTTGCAAAAACGCCCGTCCTCCAAGTCTGTAGTTGGGAGAAGAGGCAGAGTGACGCACCGCATGGCCGGAATTTTAATTGTTAGATTTTGATTGGTCAATCTCTGCCTCTCCTAAGACATGAAACAAAATGACCATTATAATACATCACTATAGAATATTTCAGACTTGAACATTCAAGGAGAACACATTAATTACAATAAAAAATTTTAAGTAAACTTAAATTTATTTATTGAAATTAATTTCATATAAAATTTCTAAAACTTACAATGTAGTTACTAACAATATTATTATATATTTATAACACGGATCTCCGAATTTTTCTACGCTATCAGTTTGCCATATTTGTTCTGCCAGGTGGTACTTAAATATTCATGCAACATTAAACGGAAGGGATAATTCAGTGCTAGAATAGTATGTTTTTAGTTCAAGTTATAATATAGTTTATTAATTATGTCATATAGTAAACATCAAATGAATAAGCTATACAGACATAAGATTAGATTTCATCCATTAGTAGTTGCACCAATTGCTTTTAGAATTGACATTAAATGCCATATATTTTTTCACTGAAATGATTCGAATTCCATGCTAAAAGGTTAGTGTAACTGTCTGTGCAAACATTATAATATACTTGATGATTTCTGCTATATTAGCTGTTTTCAAGTTATGCGTTATTAGTATAATTATTTTACATGAGATAAGTATAAATTAAGTGCCGAATTGACATTAGTCCTGTTAATTATAAGAATTTAACTGTTAATTTACTTTTTCAGTCAATTTCACCTATTTAGTACCACTTTTAGTAGGATTGCCCTTGTTATTAGCAGCAATAATCCTATACCTTCTGTGGAGGCGACGCAAGAGGTTCGTAAGAATTTTTCAAATGTTTATTTGAAAGTACTTGCATATGAAATATTTACTGGAAACCTTCAATAGATATGAAGTATGTAAGTAATGTGAGAATCAATTGTTCCGAAATTGATTGATTGATTGAAAGTTGTCTTACGTCCCATTCGAGAATTGTTCACTCATATAGAGACGTCACCATATACCGGTGAAGGGCTTCAAATTTAGACCTTTACTCGGTACTCAGGGCCATTGAGCAGTGAGGGATTTTTATCGTGCCAACGCCTGCCGTGACACGGGGCCTCGGTTTTTAAGGTCTCATCCGAAGGACCCGCAGCTTTCACTTCAAAGTGCCGAGCGCATGGCGAAGGAACAGTTGCTACTCATTTTTTAGCTCTACTGGTCAGAGACCAGAAGAGCTTATGCGATAGTAAGGTGTCCGTCGTCCGTCCGTCTGTCTGTCTGTCTGTCTGTACACAATTTTTCAAAACGCTACTCCTCCTACAGTTTTAGTCTGATTTCAATATAACTTGGCACACAAATAGACTACACTAAGATACATAATTCTGTATATCAGTTTTTGATTTTGATGAACGGTGTTGCCATGGTTACCAAAAATAGAGATTTTTGGGAGGTACTTTCAAAACGCTACTCCTCCTACAGTTTTGGTCTGATTTCAATATAACTTAGCACACAAGTAGACTACACTAAGATACATAATTCTGTATATCGGTTTTTGATTTCTATAAACGGTGTTGCCAAGGTTACTAAAAATAGAAATTTCCTTGAAATACTTTCAAAACGCTACTCCTCCTACAATTTTAATCTGATTTCAGTATAACTTAGCACACAAGTAGACTAGACTAAGATACATAATTCTGTATATCGATTTTTGATTTCAATGAACAATGTTGCCATGGTTGCTAAAAATAGAAATTTGTGTGAAACTCTTTCAAACCCCTACTCCTCCTACAGTTCTGGTCTGATTTCAGTATAACTTGGCACACAAGTAGACTACACTAAGACATAATTTTATTTATCGGTTTTTGATTTCGATGAACGGTGTTGCCATTGTTACTAAAAATAGAATTTTCTGTGAAACTCTTTCAAAACCCTACTCCTCCTACAGTTTTGATCTGATTTCAGTATAACTTGGCACACAAGTAGACTACACTAAGATACATAATTCTGTATATCGGTTTTTGATTTCTATAAACGGTGTTGCCATGGTTACTAGAATTAGAAATTTCCTTGAAATACTTTCAGAACGCTACTCCTCCTACAATTTTGATCTAATTTCAATATAACTTGTAGACTAGACTAAGAAACATAATTCTGTGAGTCCAAGTGCTACTTTTATCTTCCATTGTTATAAGTACAAACCAGTAGAGCTACAGTCTCGTCAGAGACTTCTGGTTATCGACTTAGGTCAGTCGCGGCGAGATTCAACTCACGACCTCCCGATCACGGAGCGAGCACTCTACCGACTGAACTACAGTGAACGGTATTCAGAAATTGACCGAATTTAATATGTGCTTTATCTGAGTTTTATTTAATGCACTTACTTTTGATAAACAGGGACATTTTTGAGGACTCCTCGGGAGTTATTTACTTTAGTGATGCAAATTTAGGACCAAGTAAAACATCCTTTCGTCAGCGTACACAACGGTTATCAACCTTCACAAGGGTGTCAGGATTTACGTATCAGTTATTGCAGAAAATCATGACTTCAAAAACGACACAACAAAGTTCCAAAATTCACGTATTTCCAGGCAATTCTCCAAAGAACATAAAAGTTTAGATATAAGTTGAATATATATACACCAGTCCGGACAAAAGAAACCAGTAATTGCAGCTTCATAAAGAACATGCCTGAAGTTCTGTATACTTGAAAGTGTTTCATGTCATACATTGTAATGTTTTTATTTAATTATTTTGTAAATGTACTTCTTTATTTTATTGTGTTTAAACATATGCTTGCATTTAAATTGATCAAGTTTTTTTTACATTGCGCGATTTCTTCTATAGAGATATACGGTATTTACAGTACCGTTACAGTTGCATTCTTATTTTTTCCATGCAGGTTGTACACAAGAGTAATTTTGAGCAGTGAAATGTTTTATGCTGGTCCCAAATTATTTATTAAATTAACTGTCATGAATGTCATCATCATATTATGACAAATATATCAAACATATTGTGAAAGTCCAGAGAAAATAGCCCCAATTTAAGCTAACTAGAGTGTTCTTAGGAACGCATGTGTCGCCTGCTTTGTAGCTCCATTAAAGATGTAAATAAATCTAAGAGTGGTCAAGTATTTATTTATTTCTAGCATGATAGTTCATGCAGTTGCCTGCAAAGAAGGAAAAAAGCATCCACGGATAGTATTACACTACGATAGAATCTGACGTCCAAAGAAAATATCGTTTCTAAACCCTCAAATGAATATTAAATTGAAAAGATTTTTATCAAATAACTATTTATCATTTTATTCATACGTGTTTCCAAAAATCCTCCAAAAGACATTTTGGTATGTCTATATTGCAATCGTCAGTCTACATAATCCATTGTGGAATACCGATCCCGATGTATTTTCATGGTATTTAAACGTAAGTTTGTGTGGTGACTGAATATCACACAGTTTCAAAGTACAGTATCATGAGCTCATAAACACGTATAAATGCTAATTGCCAAAACCCTGCCCCTCAAAATTCAGAAGGCATACTTTTATTAAACTGCCCGGGGTATTTTTCGCAAAGTAGGTCAAAGGTCAAGGTCAAGTGGATTGTAACGCTGGTATTTTTCATAATGTTTTAAGACAAAGAGTGCACATGCTCAATAGCATAGATTTATCTCTTAAATGTCAAAAATATGCTGTATATCGGCACTATAACTAGCTATTTTGAAAAGTAGTTCAAAGGTCAAGGTCAACGGTCACGAGGTCGGTAAACATGGTAATTTAAAAAAGCCATAGTGCCAGGGAATATATGTGTTAAATATTAATTCCAGACTTTTTATAGTTCGTGAGATGACAGACAGCTAGACAGATAGGCAGACAATCAGACGCCGGGTAAAGTGATCCCTTGTCGCTCTGCTCTTCAGGCGACACAAGAATTGACACTATTTTAGTAGTACAGTGTATTTTAAAATTTACATCATAGACCCCTGCTTTTAATTTTCTTTTCTGAATATATGACAATTTTAACCATTCTGCTGAAATTCAGTAAAATTGATTTTATTGCTTGTTAATTTTTCACTGCCAGAAATATAACATTTTTTGAGTGCAGAAAGGTTACATAATTGACTATGCAAAGTAATTTGAAACATTTTCTTTGTTACAATCTTTAATGTGTCTATTCAAGAAAAAATTAGACTGTACTTGGTCATTGATTTATTTGGATAAAAAATATTGGAGGAAAAACTTCGAAGAATTGATTTATGTGTTAGACGTAATTTCAGTGGGAAAAGGTCATATTAAATGCTCCGTAGCACCAGAAGAAGCGCACTGACCTCCATTTTTGTTTTGATTTTTAATTAAGCTATATTATTAGATTCTTATGATATACTTGTTAAAACATTCATGCATTTATGTTAAAAACTTGGTAGTCCAAGGCAACAAAGCCGCTCTGTTTTTTTAAACCATAACGGAAAACATGTTAAATGTAAAACAAACGTGTCGTTTATTAAAATGAAGAAAAAATGTAAACCATGACATAAATACAAAAGAATGTACTGGGAGACCCAAGGAAAGATTGTTGACATAAAACTGTTTCTTGAATA